CATCATCACTATAAAATGTTATGGCCAGCATCAAAAGAGCCGCATGCAGATTTCTGCTCAGGGCCTCCCTTTCTATTCCAGCCCCTCCCACACATTAACAAAATGACTCATTGCCCTGAGTATCATTAAGCATAGCCTTAGCCTGAGTAGACACAGAGAAGAAAAATCACTAAAGCTTCAGATGTGAAAAAACCACAGGACTCTTTTGATCCTGGGCCATGCCGATTTCGTGTTTTCCTGTTCTATTTTCATACATTTTCTTTGTTCTATTAAACCATGGCAGAAAATTAATGCTTCTCACAAAAGTAGATTTCAATAGGTGCAGTTTCAATCATTTTGGCATTTCTGCTTGTCTTATACACAGCAAAAAGATGGCATGAAAGCCCACTTAAAACCTTATGTAAAGCACACATGATGGGACTTATAGAATCATCACTTACTGAAGTCATTATGCGTGTATCTGGAGGGAAAATTCTGAAAATGCGGCATGCTTTTAAGTCAATGGGGTCTCGCAGATAAAAAGCTTGGACTGCTGCAGATACTAATGCAGGACATTGCTTCAGTACTGCTGCAATACCAGCTGGAAGGTAACAGTGAGCTCGGTGAAGGAAAGTCTGGATTCGCTCAGGATACCTGTGGAACAAAATTGTAACAAGATGCTGATTAAGACACATAGTTTGAGCGTATAAACCTTGTTTATATGAAGGTAATTTCTCTCCTTTGGTCTAGAAACATACATCTGTATGTCAGATTTAAGGTAGCAAAATATATTTATAAAATCCAACTGGAAAACTCAAGCCTATCCACAGGGTCAGATATATTCAAAGTCTGGACAGAGTCAAAGAAAAATCTGTTTTCTCCCAGACTTCCACAAACCCTACAATTACCCAGGTGAGTCTAATGGGGCTTACTCCCAAGTTAGTATTGGGCTGCAGCCCATGTGACTTGAATTTTTTTTTTCTATTCAAAGAGACTCTTGCTTCAGTATCATTTATAATTTGTCTGCTCTTGAAGGTGGGGGAGCCACTACTCTGTGTTAAAATCTGCTAATGCTATTTTCTCATAGACAAATGACTAAAAGACTGGAGTTGCCAGATTTTAGCAACGTATTTCTCCACCTCTCCTTTTTTTTGTTTTTTGTTTTGCACAAGCCAGGTGTGAGCATAGCCCTGGATGTCAATGGTTACACAGTCCTTCCATTACAATATTGTTTAGAAATCTGTCCAGGACATGCAACAAACAGCAACACTGAGAGGAAGCCTAGAGAAAACTCCCATGCCTTTATCATAGAAAACATACCATAATATGGACACCTAAGCAGTATGTGAAGCATTCCAGACACTCTAATAGAAACATTTTTTTCAGATCAGGTCACTTACCCATTGATGCGTTTGTTTACTGCTGTTTTAATAGATTTTGCAGCCACAAAGCCACCAGAATGGGCAGATAGCAACTTCAGCGCCTGAGGAATTGTAGGACTGGTGGCAGGTAATAAGGTCTCTTCTTCAGGAGTTTTTGGCAATGGAATTATGCATAATTCCCCACAATGAAAGAACACCTGACAAAAACATACATTTCTTTGCTGTCTGAAAGTACTTCATCCAAGTTACAGATTCACAATTTATCATAGTTTACAGAAACAAGAAAACAAAACAGAAATCCCACAATGTTAAAAGTCTTCAACACTGTACAGTGGTGCCCCGCAAGACGAATGCCTCGCAAGACGAAAAACTCGCTAGACGAAAGGGTTTTCCGTTTTTTGAGTTGTTCCGCAAGACGAATTTCCCTATGGGCTTGCTTCGCAAGACGAAACGTCTTGCGAGTTCTTGCAAGTTTTTTTCCTTTTTCTTAAAGCCGCTAAGCCGTTAATAGCCGCTAAGCCGCTAATAGCCATGCTTCGCAAGACGAAAAAACCGCAAGACGAAGAGACTCGCGGAACGGATTAATTTCGTCTTGCGAGGCACCACTGTATTTCTGTAAGATAAACACTGAAAGCATTTTGAGCCACTTTGGGGGGGGGGGCACTTCCGAGGCAGCACAGGGGAAAAACACACCATTTTGAACAGGTTAAATAAGCATAGCCCATATAAACACAGGCATAGGTTTAGCACTGGTTTGGTAGCTAGCACACTTAAATCTCTCTTACCCGATTGCAGCTGTTTTCAGGATTCAACCACTTCGGAAGGAAGTCAGCTGCTTCTATCAGAAGGAATTCACCATCGTTATCGTCCACCCTATTGAAATGGAAAATAATGACAAAACTCAATGGGGCTTACGCAGGCACATGTGTATAGGACTGCAGCTTTACTCCTATGTAAACATAAAACATTCTCAGTCCTGAGCTAGCAAGAATGAAAGAACATCTATAAATTACTTGGATGTAATCAAACTATGGCCCACTCTTTACTGAATACCCTCCTCCATTGTACACTAGTATAATATAAATCTAATGGTTTAACATATAGAAAACATGCACAATTTTAGCTTAAGCTACTTCCACAAGTGACACCTTAATCAGCAAGTGTTCACATTCTGAATGTAAAAATTGGTAATGAAAAGGTACCTGGCTGCTAATTCTGGAAACTCTTTTGTAATTTCCTTGATAAGGTATACAATAAACCATTCATCTTCAATATTATCCCCAAACTTTGTAAGACCACCAATATGAGCAGGAATATGTTCTAAAAAAGAGAAGGGGAAATGAGACTACAGTATATTACCACCAAACTATTTTCCAGATAGCCTTTGAAATTACCCTCTATTCCCAATACCTTGTAGCAATCCAGCCAAAGTAATACTCATTGAAGTTCAGAGTATGATCTTATCCTACGCTGCCATCGCCTCCATCTCCTCCCTCCCCCAAGTGTCTATTTTAAAACCGTTTGCAAAACACAATGTAAAAAATAGATGGTAACTCTAACAAAACCAATTTGTATTCTATTTTAGAAGTGAATAGAAATGTAATCAAGAGAAGGCTGCAATAAGAGAAGGCTGAAGGAGCTCCGTTTCCTCTTACAACAAGGCTGATCATTCGGCTAAGTGATTTATGTTCATTTGCATTTTTTCTGAATAATTGAAACTAGACTTTGCTGTTTCTGAATAATAATAGAAAAATAAACATAGTTTTAAGAGCATAGGAAACATTTAAATAAGGACCTCAAAAACCATACAGAAATATCCAGTATGGCAAAAATTCGACAATTTTCAGGTAATCCAATATCCATTATAAAATTATAATCAGCATAAAAATTTACTCTGCTGCTCAGAATGTTGCACAGAATCACTGTTTAGTGTCCAATTGGGTCAGCATAAATCATGATAATTCAGTATAAAAGCTCAAGACAGCCTGTATAATGCTACAGAATCACTACCTGCATGTTCTATTGTTTCTTACAGAATTGGAAGACCCTGCTCTAGATTCACAAACATCAAAACAGAATGGAGGCAAATGTAATAGCTTTACCTTTGGCAGGTTTGTACTTCAGATTAAATGGTTGGCTTTGCCAAATATAGGAAACCAGCATGGGTGCAAGGTGTGCTAATATTCTTTCAATGTATTGTTGAAGAATTTTTTGACAGTGCGCAGGGTCTTCTGGTTCATGTGTTAAGAACAACTGGTACTGCACTGCATCTTCTGTTGCTGCAAGGTTCAGTTTCTCCATTCTGTACTTCCTGAAAAAGCACCATTTAGAAATAAATCTTTCAAGACCATTTACACAAGCACAATAAGAACTCCTCCAACACACACCACACTGAAAATGCTGGCAGCACCTTCAAGCAGTGTTCAAAACTCCCATTGTTCTAGGCGCATTTTGCAACAAGGAATTTCATTAGGGTGAACAGTTTCTGAGCTCTGGGAGTAGTAATGCACCTAGGATTTAAGGTAAAAACTGCAAAATGGAAGGAAAAGAGGACCTTTTTCTGCTTTCTCACTTCCAGCTACTCTCTTAAGACTGGATAAGAGACTTGCTTAAGAATATTAGGGGGGTAGGCAGGAAAGAACTAGAACGTGTGAAAAAAGAACATAATATTTTAGCAGCAGTTCATTCATTTTCAGCTTTGTATTCTTATTATAAAAAAGTGTGCCTAAGCATTCAGTTGTTCCGCCCATAACCTAGGTTTAAGGTGCCATTTAGCTCCTAGCTTTCATATCTCAGTTTCTAACAAGTCAAGCTTTTATTGAGAGAACATGCATGCTCCTAATTTTCCTGACTAGGTCAAGGACAGGTATATCCAGACATTTCATAAGGAGCACTTTTTAATCAATTTTCCCCTGACTTCCAAAACAGCAAGAAGAGTCCCAGAGACAAGAATCTGCCATCAGGAAACCTCTAAATTTTAAAAGCCGGAGAGGGTATTTTTTTCATCTGTGTTATCATTTGGACACACACAAAAAACCCATTAACCCGCCCTCCATTCAGCTTATCAGCCTGATTAGCCATTGAGTGACTGAATGAAGTCGCTTTGAATTTCCTCTACTTCTATTTGTTTGCAAAGTGCCCCAACAAAGCAACAAAGCATTTGAAAAGAAAATACCACCGCCCCTTTCTATGTCAATACACATAATAATAATAATAATAATAATAATAATAATAATAATAATTTTTATTTATACCCCGCCCTCCCCAGCCAAGGCCGGGCTCAGGGCGGCTAACAAGCAATAATAAAAACAAGTTGAATGAATACAACTTAAAAACAAGATTAAAATACAACAATTAAAATATTGAAACATTAAAATATTGAAATGCAGCCTCATCACAGGAGGTACTCATGTATACACGTAGCTGCTCATGTATAATCAATAGAATATTTATATTTGTGTTTGCGTACACGAAAACACACCCCCCCCACACTCTCTTCCCCACCGGGCGACCCACCGCTCACCTGAGCTGCCACTGACAACGCCGCCGCACGCGCCCTGTCACGTCATCACCGCGCGCCGCCGGCCGCGCTTGCGCCCCACCACCACCACCGAGAGGAGGCTTCCGCTGGCCTAGAGCGGACCGGAAGGGCAGGCGGGGCGGGGCGTCGCCATGGCGGCCGAGGGCCGAGCCGGCCAGCCGGCAGCGCCGACAGGGACCGAGATGCAGCGCTGAGGCGGGAGGATGATCTCGCGATACACACGGAAGCCGGTGGCCCCCGACGCCCAGGGGATGTGAGTGGCTTTTCCTCGCTGGCGTCGCGACCCTGAGGCGCCCTCCGTCAGGGTGGGGGACCCTTCCGACTCCCCGACGGCGACCCTGCCGCCGCGGCCTGGTGGGGCGTCCCGGAGGAGACGGAGGCCTCGGGAGGGGGTGGGTCCGGGCTGTATCTTTCCGGAGCGCCTCGGGGGAAAGCAGGCTCCCCTGACGGGATGCCCTCGCGCCCACCAAAACAGGCCCCTCCACGTGGAAAGCCGCCTTGCTGGAGAGAAAGGTCCCAGCCTAACTTTCACCCTGAAGCCTGTTTTCTAGACTTAGAGCAGGCATAGGTGTTGTAAATAAAAATATGCCCTTTTCCCTTATGGGGTATCCAAGAGCCCATATGGAGTCCTTACATAGGTTCCCTATTGGTAGGAGAGAATAACAGAGGCCAACCAGAGAATATTGAGAAGCAAAGCAGCTAGTAAGCTTGATCTTTATTGATCTGTTGCAACAGGGTGCTCCCCTCACTCGCAGGAAAGGAAGAGGACTCACAAAAATGCTGTGCAAGGGCTTATAAAGACTTTTGAAATTCCCATCCTCTAGATCAAGACCACCCCCAGAAACATTATGCATTCATCACAGAAGGGGTGTAACCTAAGACCACCCCTCAGATACATCCCACCTACATCACAGAAATTTAAATGTTGTTTTTCTCTTGTCCTTGTTTATCTCCTGTCTGGCAGGTTACTTGATTGGATTTCCTTGGTAGCCTGGCCATTCTTTTGTAGTGATAAAATATTTATTTCCTGGGCCAGGTCACAGGCTCACACCTTATTCAAACAGACATATCCTTGAGACAGGATTTGTGAGGAAAGAGACAATGGGGAGGCTTTTCCAGTTTAACCTTGCAGAGAAAGGATTTGGTCAGTTTAGGAATCAAAATGGTTCCAGGTTGGTCTTCCTGTGTTGATCTATGTATGTGCGGTTATGAACATTGCCATATATCTAAGACCATAAAATTCCTATCACATAGGCAAACTCGGCCCTCCAGATGTTTCGGGACTACAACTCCCATTATCCCTAGCTAACAGGACCAGTGGTCAGGGATGATGGGAATTGTAGTCCCAAAACATCTGGAGGGCCAAGTTTGCCTATGCGTGGCTTGAGTGTTGTTTTTTTCATTGGTGGAGGAACAATCTGCCATACCCACAGGAGCTGATTTACCACCTCCCTGAAAACCAAGGCTGAGATAACAGCGACATCAATAAAATCTTGCCACTGCTACCACCTAGGGCAGAGCTTCCCAAACTTTCCGTTTTGGAGACAGGCATCATTTCACGACACAGTAATTCAGCGTTAAAGTCGTACCTTGGTTCTCAAACTAAATCTGTTCCGGAAGTCCGTTCCAAAAACAAAGCATTCCGAAACCAAGTCGCACTTTCCCATAGAAAGTAATGCAAAATGGATTAATGCGTTCCAGACTTTTAAAAACAACCCCTAAAACAGCAATTTAACATGAATTTTACTATCTAACGAGACCGTTGATCCATAAAATGGAAGCAATAAACAATGTACTGCAGTCACAAAATCAATCAATCAATCAGCTGAACTGAGTTCCACACAGTCTCAAAAACAAAACAAAAAAGCCCCAAAAACAAAAATGCAAAATAAATAGCAAAAACAGACCTCAGTGTAACACTCAAATTGCCAGCATAATGCTCAAAATGGAAGTGTGGCACTCAAATCAGAAGTGTAACTTGTGCTAGAGAACCAATCAATGTCATACGAAAACCTTTTGCATTCTTCTGGTGTGACTAGCTTGAATATATATTTTTAAAACTTAACATATTTATGTTAATAAGAAACAGTTCCCAACAATTTTTAATGCTGATTGCTTGTTGTTAAGAAGACATTAAAGTCACTGTTAGAGGTTGTAATTTATTTCCACTGAAGGTGGAAGCGGCTTAGTCATGCTGGCCACATGACCCGGAAGCTGTACGTCGGCTTCCTCGGCCAATAAAGTGAGATGAGCAACCCCAGAGTCGGTCACGAATGGACCTAATGGTCAGGGGTCCCTTTACTTGAATCACATTTTTACTTTTCTTCCCCCACCCTTTTTTTAGCCGAGGACTTACAAAAAGTTCCTTAGAACATCATCCCCTGCCAGACTCACTGGATGACAGTTATCCATCTACTGAAAGTCAGGAAGACATTTCAAGGTATTCAGATAGTGTAAATATTTGTGGGGGGAGGTTTGTGAGAAGAGGTTGGAAAATACATTTCTGTTGACTGCTTTCATTTTTCATTCATTTTTCATTCTATTTCCCCCTCCACTTTTAGTAGGTCTGGGACACTTGTTAAACATCCAGTCAAATAGTGACTGTCTGTTGTTTGGCTATGGTCAAATGTTAATCCTATGAAGCCAGCAATGCCCTTTTGGAAAGGCGTAACCTAGAATCATAGAGTTGGAATAGACCACAAGGGCCATCGAGTCCAACCCCCTGCCAAGCAGGAAACACCATCAGAGCACTCCTGACATATGGTTGTCAAGCCTCTGCTTAAAGACCTCCAAAGAAGGAGACTCCACCACACTCCTTGGCAGCAAATTCCACTGTCGAACAGCTCTTACTGTCAGGAAGTTCTTCCTAATGTTTGTTTAAACATTGCTTTAATTTGCATCATGGTGTCATCAGATACCAAAGGCAATAGTCTTTCTCTCTCCTTTTTTTAATTACAAACTTTATTGAAAATAAATAAAGTCATTCTTTTTTTCCAGTGCTCTAGAATGGGGACATGGTAATACACGGAAACCCCATTTAAGAAGAGGCACCTATTTTCTTGCACTAGATCATAGCTGCTTTTAAAAACAAGTCTTTGTTTTCTAGTTGATATGAATGTTTCATTTTTAGTTGTATAATTGCAACTTGGGGCTCCAGGATAACAAAAAACAACAACCGTTCTTAAGTATTGTTCACATACATTGATGTTTAAATAATATTGTTAGAAACAATATAATGTGATTTCATTGTTACTAGTCTTTATTTCATGATGTTTATATAATATTGTTAGTTACAGTATAATTTGATTTCATTGTTACTAAACTTCATTTGGTGATGTAACTTTAGCTTCCTTCTTCAGTCTAATAGTAATAAATTGGACTAAAACATATTTTATTGTTAGCAGAACTTCATATATGTGTCTATTTTATGGTACCTTTAACGTGTATCCGCAGAATTACATTACTTGAAAGATACCTTCCCCACTAGAATCTAAACTGTTCCTCATATACTTCCTATTCACTTTGGAAAGCTTAACTCATATGACTTTTCTTATATTAAGATTCCCTTTCTCTCTCCACTCCCCCTGAATATTTTAGTGAGTCTGAAAGTACAAAAGATTCAAACTACCAATCTGTCACTTCAGTAGACGATGGAAACTCATGGTCAGCTAGTCAGAGCTTCACAGGCACCTCTACAGAAGACAGCTCAGTCTTTTCTTGGGGCTATGATGTGAGTAGATTATAATCCTTCAGTTAAAATGAGAATAATCCTTTGAAAAATATTATTGATAAGTTTAGATCTCTGTCCTTCACATAATTTCACACATTGGTCCTAACAAATACACTTATGAGTCAGTAGGCAGGCCGGTACAAGCTTTGACATATTTCAGTTACACTCATGCACATGATTTTTTTGCAGTGAATGTTGCAAAAATATTGTAGTTCTAATAGAGTTATGTGTATTCATTCTTGGAAGTTGGTACAGAATTTAGCATCCTTAAGAACAGTCTTTATCTTAAAAATATTTGCAGGTTTCAGAGTCCAATAACTTTAGAAGAGTTTCTGATAAAAATTATTAGTGTAGTTCCTCTTTATCTGTTTTGGATAATTTAACAAACAAGATCCTTCGGAAATTAGAATTGCAGTCTGATGCATTGTTTCAAATACTTAAATCATCTTATTACCTGGATTGTACCTGGGGCTCAAGAACTTCTTCTCTTATCTGATCCTTCCCAATCCCTCCCTTTTCTGCTCTTCATCTTTGTTAGTTTTGTTATTGTATTGCTGATTAAAATGTATACCGTTGCCTGCAAATCAGTCATTAAAACCTTCATGGCTTAGGACATACTCAAGTCTTATATATTACTGCTTTAAATAGTCCTTGGAATAAGAACATTCAATTTTAAGGCCTCCTGATAAGATTCTAGAAGACTTGGTTCCCATCCTATAACAATGTACTTGGTGCAGCTCCATTGCTTTTTGGCCTTGAGCTACATTTTGAGTTGTACTAGCAATTCTGCATTCAGGTTACTCATTTATTCTTTCCTAGAGGGCCCTGCAACAAAGAGTGCTCCTACGTATTGTGTCATCCTGTCAGTCATATCCTCCCAATATATTTGTTTGTGTATTTATTTTTTAAAAATAGATAGATATTCCATTGTTTCTCCCTCCTAGGTTTCCTAAAAAAACACTTTTAGCACACAGTCAGTATTCTCTGGCCACTGAGCATATGCTTTCCTCATTAACCTGGATTTAAAGCCTTGAGTAACCCCGAGGACCCCTTAACCCTTCAGGTGTGGTGCCTGGAGGAGGCATAGTGAAAAATGAATTATAAATCCCCCCCATCTCTTCTCATGGAAGTGTGTGCTACAAAGTTAATTTTATATTTGCTTTATGAAGAAAGTCCTGAGTATCCTGCTAAATTGTGAAACAAGCTAGCTAGTCCATATAATCCCCCAAAGATGTAATTTTGTTTCCCATTTTTATTTCTTCCCTAATTTCTGTTCAGGAATTTGATAAAGCTGCCACGCGGCAAGTACAACAAATATTTAGATATATTGATGAGCTCTTGTATGAACAGAAAACAAGCATGTATGTTGAAGGCCTAGAGGAGGAGTGCCAACAATGGATGTCAAGCTTTCCCCATCTCAGGTATTTTCATGATGTGTTAATGATATATTTCACAGTACTAGAAAACAGCACAAAGCTGTACTTTTCAGCTTCTTCACGACTGCTGTAGAGGCTCAGTTTTGGTTCTAAATATGCCGCCCTCTCTGCTTTTGTTCCTGAGTGAATCATTATGGACCAACACAGTGGCTGATTCCGCTGTTTCTTTCCAAATCTCTTCTTTGATGCTGAATTACTCAATTGTAAGAAGTGCTTTTGTTGGAACATACTAACATAATGTTGCAGGAGATGATAATTTTATCTTGATGTTGCTCTTCCAGAGTAGTTGTTGCTCACACTGTCCTTCCCTCACAAGTAAATTCCTTCCTTGAGTTGTAGGTTTTGTATACCTGCTGAACGCTTCAGGACTTATTTTGTGGATTAAGCATACTTTGCCAGTTTCTCCAAAGCCATTTGTAATTTTTAAAATAATTCTCTCTTTAATATCAGGATTGTAGGGAAACAAGTAGTGATTCCCACAGACGAAGGTTACGGCTGGTATTCGAGTTCAACTTGCAGCACCTTAGGTTCATCAGATATGACCCCATCACTAGAGAAAGATCCGAGTGAGTAAGTATCAGTGATCTCTAATTCTGCAGAGGTGTTCCATTATCAGTGAATGATTGGCAGAGCAAACCTACTGGGGCAAGGTATGGGGAATGTTTGTGGTGGATGAACTGCCAAATACAAAGCCCTGCTGAGCTTTCCCCTTTTGAGCTTTTTTTTTAAAGCTCCCCACCCCACATTTTGCATCAAGGAGGCCTCGGGGAGGTGGAACTCATGCCCCACACATGGAGCTTCTGTGGAGAGGGAAACCTGCTAAATCCTATCACCCTTTGAATGCTTTCCCCTCGCCCCGCCCCTGCAGGACCATGGGATTGCACTTTAGGACTGCAGTCTTATATACACTTAACCTTATATACCTTTCACTTATATACATACATGGGATTGCACCGTGAGCTGCTCTCAGATGAAGCATAAAATGACTTTAAAAAAATAGCATCATTATAACCACCTTATTTTCACTGAAAGAATAAATTAGACTTCTTTGTAACTATTTTGTTTATGAAATATATTTGCCGTTCAGAACAAACCATGATTTTTGAAAGTAGCTATCGCATCAGTAATATATTGCAAGCAACATTAATGCATTTCAGATATTGTCCACATGCCTAGCAAACACTGGTGTTATTGGCTAGGACTCAAAGAATTGAGCAAATGGAGACTTTACTATTGTTTCCTTAGACATCTGCCCTCCATGCCATATGGCAAACCGTTTCTGAAACTTAGGTGAGCTTCAGTAGCCATTTATGATATATAGGAGTCGTCATTTCAAGGGGGGGGGCTTTATAGTAAGGATAGCTTGTACGGCATTGGTAGGATGGTTGTTGTTGTTTAGTCGTGTCCGACTCTTCATGACCCCATGGCCCAGAGGATGGTAGTTGTTCCCATGTCAGAAGGTGATCACATACCAAGTATAATAAAGGAATTAAATGAATCTCTAAACAATCTTAGCATTCTACTGCTGGTTGTACTAGCTTCTACAATGTCAGAGGGCTCATAAGCTAATTTCTCCACAACTACTTTTTGGAATATTTAAGAAAACTGTTTCTGAGATTATTTCTTTACTCTTAGTGCTTGAAAAGAAGAGAGAGGGTATAATTGCATTTAGGATAATTAGGTCTGTTTTTTGGGTTTGTTGTCTAAAATGAAATAAGTCAACTCAAAAGGCTAACACCATCATCATCATTATTAAAACTGAATAATTTTTTCCAGCTTTCATTTTATGGTTGGGATTTGATATCTGTCCATTGCTGTTGGGAGAGCTTAAGAGCCTCCATGGGTGAGCGGGAAAATCTGCCCATGTCACCAATACCATAACTGTACCATTGAGATATAAAAGTAATCCTCCTTGTTTACTGCCATTTTTTTCAGATTTAGTATTTTGGGCAAAAAGGTTCCTCTTTCTCTTACTCCTATGTGTAAAGAAGACAACATTTCAAAACCACCTGAATTGTGTTTATTGGAGAGCGAAGAAGGAGACGGTGGAGTGATTGTCTCTGAAGGTGTAATGGAGGAATATTTAGCATTTGATCGCAGAGATGTGTAGGTATTGAATATTTGTTTAACCTAGTCTGCACTGATATTTGCTGCTAGTGACTTGGAATTAATTGCTAAAATGTAATTTGTTCCTAACAGTAAAGGTAAAGGTAAAGGTACCCCTGCCCGTACGGGCCAGTCTTGACAGACTCTAGGGTTGTGCGCCCATCTCACTCAAGAGGCCGGGGGCCAGCGCTGTCCGGAGACACTTCCGGGTCACGTGGCCAGCGTGACATCGCTGCTCTGGCGAGCCAGAGCCGCACACGGAAACGCCGTTTACCTTCCCGCTATAAAGCGGTCCCTATTTATCTACTTGCACCCCGGGGTGCTTTCGAACTGCTAGGTTGGCAGGCGCTGAGACCGAGCAACGGGAGCGCACCCCGCCGCGGGGATTCAAACCGCCGACCTTTTGATCGGCAAGCCCTAGGCGCTGAGGCTTTTACCCACAGCGCCACCCGCGTCCCTCTGTTCCTAACAGTAGAAAATAATAAATCACACAGTGATTTTGTTGTTTTGGTTGTTCTTCCACTGAAGTGCTCATAATAGTTCTGTAAATCCTTGTCGGCGGTGCCACACTATAGATTTGGTGATTTTCTCACTAAATAGCTGTTGAGTTTAAAATTGCAGTTTATTCCTCCCCAGCATCACGGTGTTGCTCTTAATTCTGATTATCATGCAATGCGTATAGTACTAGGTGGACAAGTTGCTGAATGGCAGAGGACACACTGGAAACTTGTGAGCCAAAGGACCTGAACTCAAGCTGCACATTTTATTTATGTCTCATTTGAGTAAAATGTCTGTTAACATGGTAGATCCAATGCCGTTTTACTAGCATAACTAGTGGAAATATACTGCTTGCTATTTATCATTCACAAAGTTCCAAAAAAAAAGAAGTGCAGAGAGTTTTTGAGCCACTGGACTGACCGGGAATATGATCAGCATTTAGTGAATGCTGCCTTCTAGAACAGTTATTTATCTTTACTGTAGTATCTCCTTCTAGCTGTCTTGATCATTTGTCTTTGGGATGGAGGTAGGGAGTGTTAATTCTGTGATCCAGTCATAGCCACTGAGTACTGTGCCAAATCCTGGCTAGTCATTGAATCCCTCAAAGTTTTCAATTGCTCAGCAGGAACTCATTGCAACAGGGAGTATACCTTAACCAGGGAAAACCACAGACTCAGGATTATAGCTGAAACAAATCACTTGGCTTATTAGTGGACAAATCTTAATGGTATTATGACATGGTAATACAAAAGCTTACAGAACTTATAGAAAACACATAAGGTGGAATATTTTGAAATGAGGCAACTTAAAGCAACTTGTGCATAATTTAAAGCAGCTTAATACAATAGGATATGTACAAAAATAATTATTAGTTTATAATTAAACCATTGAAATGAATGAGCATGACTAAGTTAAGACCATTAATTTCAGTGGGTCTGCTCTGAGTAAAACTTTGTTGACTACCACTCTTAAGGGCAGGAGTCACCTAACCATCTCTGTCAGCAGAAGCCCTGTGCAAGAACTTTCACAAAAGGGTTTCCTCTCCCCACCTCTTAGGGGCATTGGGAAAGCCCCCCAGAGCAGTGGTGGGGGAGGGGGGCTCATTCCATCTGGTCAGCTGCAGGGATTGCTCAGACAGAACAATTAGAAGAGTTCAACATTGAATTCCACCCATCAGCTCTAAATTTGTCAGGTAGGCACAAAGTCGCTTCTGGCTTTGATTATATAAAATTAAAACAGAACTGTAACATTATCTTGTTTCATTCAAAGGGAAGAAGAGTTGCATGATTGGAAAATGGGTCTTTCACCTGACAGACGGAAATTAGGTTTCCCTCCTATCTCGCCATCCTACTGCATGAGAGATGCTGTCCTTTCCTATGTATTTGATGATGTCTGGAGTGAAGTCTTGGGCCATATGGAGCAATTAATCTGTAGACACTGGGAAGGGTCAGTCTCAGGTAAGTTTCAAGGCTAAAATGCAGTGGATATCATTCTCCAAAGTTTTCCCTGCCCACTTCAAAATGTAGTGTTAAATACTTAGCAAGCTATATTCCCGCCCCCCGAAATATGCCTTATGCCTAGAAACAGTTTCAGTCCAGTGAGTCATAGTTTAAGACTCTTGCACTTTGCTATAAATTGCATTGGGAAGTCTTATCCTGTGTGGATTTTAATGACCAGATATTTTGGTCCACTGACATGCATGGAACTCCATGTATTCTAGCTCTTTTAAATGTCTCTGATTAAAATCAAGAGTATGAAGCCCATTTATGTATTTTTCAAGGAGATAAAAGCCACCTTTCTTAAAATTTTGCTTTATAAGAATCCAAAGTGAACAGTGCATAGTGATTTATGTTTGTCCTATTTCTGGTAGACGATGAGAAGAATGTCATAACTGTTGAAACAAACCGGACAGATTCAGGAAGCCCGTTTATGCAGTTTGAGCCTTTGCCACTGTTATTACCTCGAATGCCTCAAACTAAGATGCCCTCCATCCCTTCAAATCTGGTAAGTTTAAGAAGACACATCAGGTTGAGATGGTGTCTAGGCAAGGAAATTTATCATGTTAACTTGCCTGAAAATTAGACATTGCAATGGCTTGACTATATCTGTCCTTGCAAAATTTTCACTTTATCACATACTGTCACAACTCTTAAAATTCTATCTACCTTATTTTGAAAATATTTTCCTTCTTTGCGCTTTGATGAAATAAGAGGTATACAGAGTTAGAGGACTGGTATGGGAGATACCAACTCAATCATTACCCAGCTTAGTGGGCAATAGAGAGCACTCTTATTTTGCTGCTTGGATGTATAAAGCATCTCTGTTAATTACCTTCGTTTTTTAAAATGTGTACTAGTTCTTGCTCTGCATACTCTCCATAATAAAGATAAGAACCCAAGGTTTAACTAGTGTTTGATCCATTTTAACTCGGTTTCTTTCCTTTTTTATTTTCCCCCTTTCACTTCCCTGTATAATCCTCTGTCTTCCTCATGTATACCTTATTGTATGCATAGTACTCAAAACACCGATGTGGCCGCAAAAGCAAAAAGAAGAGAAAAACACCGGAAGTATGTATGATGCAGGGGGTATAGCTCTTTTCTTTCTCCTGTCAGTGTCATATGGTGGGTGGATGATGATGATGATAATGATGATGATTTTGCGTTTTCCCAGATGATGCAGAACTATTTTGAGTCAAAATTCATTACCACAGAAGTATTGTATATTAATTTCAGCAGAACTTACTTCCAAATTAGACAGCTTTGGGTCACACTGTTTCTTGGATTCCTTTGTTATTAAGGAGGCAATGGGACATATGATGCAGTGTCTGGGGAAGGGAGAACCTCATTCACTAGTGTATTAAGCAATTTAGTTTAGTCATACATTAGTAATATTCCATCTTAGCAAGTTTAGGCTGATCCTGAATAAATTCAGTAACAAATGGCAATGAGATTTGTGCTTACATTTTTTTAGGATTATAGATTTGGCACCCTAGTACTAAGTAGGACTTTTCCTATTCCCCTTTTGCCCTTTCAAAAACCTACTCCTAAAGGTCAGCTAACTCTAGAGTGGTATTATATTGCATTGGAAGTTATAAGTGAGGGAAGGCTGCAGCGGGCTATGATAGACACTGTGTCTTTTCAGTACAGAAGCTGCTGTAACCAGATATACTTTAGGTGAGAAAATGCTTACAAGGTTGGGGGAGGCCTGCCACAAAGAAGTGGGCGGGAATGCCCTTTCTCCTAACCATGCCCTTTCTCCTAACCTGATAAGGGAGGTGGTTGTGAAACACAGTTGTAAGCCCAGCTGACTTACTGATGCTCAAGTCTCATTTCTCTGCCATTGGGTCAGGATGTGGTTACCAATATCTGCGGCAGGGACCAGTTCAGCAGCTGAGAACAGCAAGTGCCCCCTCTCCCTGCTTCCTAAGATTTACCTCAAGATTTTACCTCAAGATAATGCATGCTTTGTCAACAATGAGAATTTCAGCAGTTGTACACGTGTAGCTGGTAACAAGGGCCACTGAAATCAATCTATCATGCAGTCATGCAGATGTACGAGGACTGAGTAGTTAGTTGGTAGCATATACGCAAAGTAGAAATCTAACCATGTTGTCATATGTTTGCTTATGCGTGTGACCTAAACATTTTTTCTCTGCTGAAAGTATTTCGTCCAGATTAATTTATGCTAAGTTTAAATAATTGAATTACCTTGGTTACGAAGCCACGTTATATAATAAACAGTGTGTAATTTTAAAAGATATAAGAACTGCTTATAAGACCATTCATGCCTTGTTACGCGTTTCTTATGAACAAATTGAGGGTATGCACTGCTTTTCTTGAGTCCATTGACATTTACTCTTTTCCAATCCTTTTTTCAGTAAGAGCCGAGATTGGAAATTAACAAATGCATATCTTTCATTTAATGCTGAGGGCAAATTTAATTTCTTGTAACCTGCAGGCAAATCTCTCACAAGGAACGAGCGGTGGTCCACAACGTAATTTGAATGGTTTGATGGTTATTCATGGGATCCCCTTACACCAAAGGAACTTGCCTCTGATGGATAAAATATTGTAAGAGTAGCCATCTTTTGTTTGTTCTGTATGAAAGCTGCACTGCGAGTTAGAGATATAAGGAAGCAGTAGTGTTGGGAGTCAAGTTTTTCTAAGTTTATATTGACTTTTAAACTCCTTCCTCCTTCTCTGTGCATCCACAGCTGTGGAGGAACCATTGAATGCTTCTACTCTATTCCATTTTGGCTTGTCTAAAACTGAGCTAGGCTAAAGAACAAACTAGCTCAGGTTACTATCAAAACCCCTGCATAGAAATCAATTACACCTCTCAAAATGCAGAAGATGTAAAATTCATACTTTATATGCTAGTGGATTTGCTCAGTCTAGTGGCTCCTGCACCACAATAGGTGTTGACTAGCATCCCCTTTTCATTGAAATGCAAATGCAAAGGGTAATAATGCTAGAATGGAATCTGTTTTCCTTGCACATTTTTAAAAACTCATTTTATACTGTGCCTTTCTTCTGTCATGGAGCCAAAGGTGGTGGACTTGTGGTTCACACACCCAGGCATGAACTGAACCTGCTTAGCTTTGGCCTCGTGTGCCTTCAGACCATCCTACACATGGGCTTTATAGAGCAGAGTAGCTGTGCGGTAGCTGCCTTTGTAGTGGTATTGTGCCTCGTTAATTGATGCGGATGGTGCGAAATCAGTTTATGAATATTTCATTTTGCTCCTGTGCTTTCCCCCACTTGGTGCCAGAGACTTGGATGACAGATTGCTTATGAGGCCAGGCTCCACTTCTGTCCTGTCAACCAGAGCTCGGCCAAATCGCCCACTTGAGCTCAGTACATCTTCTCTGTCCTATTCTGCACAGTCTGCTAGAAGGCGCAACCCTCCACCACGTACTCTGCACCCCATCAACACGAGCCATTCTCGCTCAGGGACACCGAGACCCATGGAGGATGTCATCAGGGGAACACGGCTGTAGGTTGATACGTACTTCTGGCTTAAATCTCTGCCTTTTGAAACGTTCAGCGTGACAGGATCAGGTCTTAGGGAAGTTGAGGGTGGGGTGGGTGAGACAGGCAGTCAGATAAGTAATATTTGTTATCTAATCTGTTGTTTTGCAAAAGGAGATACTAGACACTGCCTGTGAAAATTGTGACCATGTTCTGAGCTGTTCTTTTGTAAGATTTCATGTATGAGCTGAAGCCTTTCCTGGTTATGTCTTTATTTGTGCAGTTATTATTTGATGTTGGGACGCGGGTGGTGCTGTGGTGTAAACCACTGAGCCTAGGGATTGCTGATTGGAAGGTCGGCGGTTCAAATCCCCGCAACTGGGTGAGCTCCTGTTGCTCGGTCCCAGCTCCTGCCAACCTAGCAGTTCGAAAGCACGTCAAAAGTGCAAGTAGATAAATAGGTACCGCTCCGGCAGGAAGGTAAACGGCGTTTCCGTGCACTGCTCTGGTTTTGCCAGAAGCAGCTTAGTCTTGCTGGCCACATGACCCGGAAAAAACTGTCTGCGGACAAACGTCGGCTCCCTCGGCCAGTAAAGCTAGGTGAGCTCCGCAACCCCAGAGTCATTTGCGACTGGGCTTAACTGTCAAGGGTTCTTTACCTTTACCTTTTTATTATTTGATGATGTAGAGAATCAAAACATCCGCTTCTCCAGCTTATACCTCTTTTGCAGGGAATCACCATTTCCCTATCACCCAAGTCACGATAGACTGTTGCAAGGAAAATGCAGACTTTCTCCAGCAATAGAGTACAGTGGTACCTTGGTTCTCGAACTTTATCTGTTCCGGGAATCCATTCGACTCCCTAAACCATTCAAAAACCAAGGCGCGGCTTCTGATTGTCTGCAGGAGATTCCTGCACTCACTTGGAAGCCTGTTGGAGATTCAGCTTCTGAAAAACATTCAAAAACAAGAACGTTTACTTCTGGGTTTGTGGTGTTCAGGAGCCGATTTATTTGACAACTAAGCCGTTCGGGAACCAAGGTACCATTGTACTACATAAAATGTGGCTGCTTATTATAGCCATCTGAAAGATAGTGCCCATTATATCTTTAGTGCTGGGCAACACAATTCCCCTTCCCATCCAGTTCTTCACATCTGTGCTATTTTATGATCTACTATTTTTGAGGTAAAGCATTTCACCATTGTACTGCTCAAGAGCAGGAATGTTTATGAAACCCTTTAAAATAAGGACAAGAAGGGTAACTCTATTGAGCGGATCCTCTACTTTACATAAGCCTTTAAAATTTATTCTTCTTTAAAAACACAAAGATTTGTGGAGGCTCTGTTCCTCTGGGGCATGTTACATTTTTCAAAAGCCGCAGAGGGACCTTTATTTATTAAATTTATATATCCTACCCTTCCTCCCAAAGGAGCCCAGGAACAGCACTTCCACCTCCAGAGCGAGTTTATCCTTCATGCATTGCATGTGGATAGCCACACTATGCCATCAATGCTGAATGAGGACTAGCACGATTATACCATTAAGAACAGAATCTCTGCAATAGTTTCAGTTCTTTGTAAACACATATTTGATTCTCTCTCCGCAGTCCTTCTGTTCTTGTTTACTTGGAAGTTTAGAGTTTTGTCTCTTCGGGATATTTCTCCTTGCCCCCTTTTATGGTAGCAGATAAGTTTAGAGTTAGGGACGCGGGTGGCGCTGTGGGTAAAACCTCAGTGCCTAGGACTTGCTGATTGTAAGGTCAGCAGTTCAAATCCGCGCGGCGGGGTGAGCTCCCGTCGTTCGGTCCCAGCTCCTGCCCACCTAGCAGTTCGAAAGCACCCCTAAGTGCAAGTAGATAAATAGCTACCGCTTTATAGCGGGAAGGTAAACAGCATTTCCATGTGCTGCACTGGTGCTGGTTCGCCAGAGCAGCTTCGTCACGCTGGCCACGTGACCCGGAAGTGTCTTCGGACGGCGCCGGCTCCGAGCCTCTTGAGCGAGATGAGCGCGCAGCCCTAGAGTCGGTCACGACTGGCCCATACGGGCAGGGGTACCTTTACCTTTACCTTTAAGTTTAGAGTTGCATCATGCTCCCTTGGCTGTTGGCTTTTAGTCTTTGTTTCGTCGTGTTCTCTGATTTTGTGAAGCTGTTTTATTTGTTCATTGCTCAAAGAACATTGTTACAGAGCGGCTCATAAATATAATGATCAAATATTACAGAAGTTCTGCCACGGAGGGGTTCTTGCTGAGCAGTGAGAGGGCCAAGGTATAGGCAGAACAAGGATTTCCTTTGAGTCCAGTATAAAATTGAGAGGCAGTATAGCGGTGATGAAAGAGATTGGCTACTTGAGCTTGGACCAGTTGCAGCTACTCTGTATTTTCCATTCTACAGCCCCAGGTAGAGAGCCCTGCAGTATTCATCCCTCAAGGTAACCAAGGTATAGACCTAGAAGAAGTAAATGTGACCACAGTTGAAACTTGGGCACAAGATGGATTGGTCCCAAAGTGTGCCCCACCTACACAATCAACGGACAGGTGCTGGCAACTAAAGAGGTTGATGCAGAATCTGCAAAAAGCTTCCCTTTTGCCCTCAAGCATCTGTCTTACTTGAGTTTAACACAACTTGTCTCATCCATTTCAGCCATATATCAAGATGCATATTATGTCAGACACTTAGCTTCACTGTGTGACGATATCTGCTTCAGATGCTAGTAACAGCTTGCCTTGTTCCATTGGTATGTTTCTTGTATTTCAGCTCACACATATCACTCTCTTCTCTCGTGATTGAATAATGGATGGCAAGCGAGTATTTTGCCTCAATCCATTCCTGAAGACTAGGCCTTTGATAACTTATTAGGCTATTATTGCAGATACATGTTAAGCTTGAGGCAAATCCGTCAGTTAGGTCACATTGGCCATTGATTTTTAGAGGTAAAAGAGAAGCAGTGTTTTGAAAGGACTCAACAAGGAAGGCATTTCATAGACTGAAAGCAGTCCTGAAGTTGTGTTGCTGTTAATTGCGGTGAAATAATTTAAATAAATCAGCTTTGAAGGGTGCCAGGTTACCTGTGGAAGACAGTTATTTTCCTCCTTTAGCCTTAAACTAGGAAAAGTGTTGAAGCTTGAAATAGCTGCAGTCACTTTGTATTCCTCACTGGTGATGGAGAGAATTGTCTACAAAATGCATGCCGATTCCTCCATTTCTCATCTCTGCTGGAGTTTCTCCCACATGGAGCTCACCATTTAAGCCACAATCTCATTGACTCCCCACACTGAAACCCAGTATTTTTCGTCAACTTGCATGGACACTTCTTTTTGTTATTTACCTTGAATTCACATCAGTCTTATAATTTCCAGTGCAAATGTCGTTTTTAGTAATTGTCATTGGTCTTTTCCAGGTCCACGGCAAATGAGCAACTATCATCACCTTCCCCAATGCCACTGAGTAGAAATAACCTCCTTCCTCCAATTAGTACTGTAGATATAGCAGATCATTTGGGATCTCAAAAGCAAATGGTAAGCCACCTCTTCTGTTGAAACAATTCTGGTCTTAGAATGACAGGATTCTTCAAGCCTCGCATTGTGGTCCTTACTCTAAGATAGTAAGAATCGGTTTTTGTTTTGTTTTGTTTGAATGAATGTTTATGATTTACAAGAGAATATTATAAAAATAATTGTTGTGCATTTTAAAACTAAAACCCACACCCACCCTCAAAGCAAATATTAATTCTTAAGTAGTTATATCTAATTTCTGGGTTGTGAGTGATCTGTTTTTACTTCTTGAGACTATCAACCTTGAAGCAGAATGCTTCATGCAGTGTTTGTTTACCAGGAGAGTGAAAAGGTTTTCTCTCTCTCTGTTATTCATCAGATTAATCAACTGCACCACTGTCTGTTGCTGCCTTAATGCAGAGGGTGTGATAACAGTATTTGCAACCTTTTGCATTCTTTTAGTGCAAATTTGTATCTAAAACCCATGGCTTTTTTCTCTTCACCATGCAGAAATCTCGGGGGAATGCTAGCCGGGCTCGCAGTGCAATAGCAGATGAAATTAACCATCAACCAGTGCATGAGAGATTTTTATTACCTGATAGTTTCTCCAGGCCCAACACATCGCATGCATTTTGGGTAAGGTGTGTTCAAATTACATTCAAACCTGGAAAGAGTAGATATTCATCTTGCCATTATCTGTGGCCAGTATCAAAACCCATAGGCCTATGCTTGCAGGTTTCCCTGTTATTTTAAGTGTGGGTACAAAATCCTTCAGCACTCAATGGTAGATTTTAAGCAAATGAATTAGGATATGTACAGGTCCCTTCTAATTGTCCCAGCTTGTGTGGCTCCTACACGTATATTAATTAATTTATATAACACCATCTGCGTACATGTAACTTGACGAAGATCTACAACAAGGGCTTCCCATCTAAAATAGGCAGAGGGAAACAAGAGGAAGCAAGGAATGGAAACACGGGTAGGTCGACAGAGGTAGAAAATGGGATTGCTTCAGTTCCATGTACCTTGGCTTAGTTTCAGGACTATGGGGGAGAAGGAAAAGAGAAACAAGTGTGTGTGTTTGTGTATGTGACTGACTTCCCCCTGAGAATAGATATGAGAGCCTTCAGAGTGGCTTTCAGATTCATAAAAGTTGCTTTACACAATGATTACTATCTGCCTCTCAGTATGTGGAAGCAGCAACATACCAGGACATTATACTCTCTCTCTCCATGCTTAAGTTACTTAAGATTTCGAGAAACTTTATAGTGTAGAGAAGAAAGAGTAGATGGGGATGTGGAAAGAGTACAGCCTGTTCCCCATAATGCCCTGGAGTGCTGCTCGGCTTTGAGGATTTTGATTTTGCAATAGCCTGATCCAAAACATGGTACCTCTAGTGGCGCAATGGTTCAGTGCGTCTGGTTGGTGGTGGTTGAAGTCCACCCAGGACCGGCTGGGGACAGGATTCCTGCATTGTAGGGGGTTGGACTAATTGATCCTCAGGCTCCCTTCCAACTCTGATTCTTTAAACTTTTTCTTTTTTGCGCTTTTAGCCAGACTCGCAGTATCGTCGCTCTTGCACTGTTATTGATTATGCTAATCAACCACGAAATAGTAAAGGATCTGCTGGCACAGGTATGTGCAGAGTGGAGCATGTATTGCTTAAAATGGCTTTGGTACGCTAACTGTATTAATAATATGCCACAGTTTAAGATTGAAATCTGGTATTACGTTACAGATGCTATAAATGTTGGAGTGATGGGAGTCAGTCTAGGGATATCCAGCTCTTCCTATATTAATTCCTTCCACCACCAGGCTCTTGGTAATTTTCTGAATGAGGACGAGGAGGACAAAGAAGACCAACCTCCCCCGGGTAAGAAGTAAGAGGCAAGCGATGCCCTTGATTTGCTTGCAAATCATAAAATACTTAGCATTCTCTTTGAAGTTGTTGGCCATTTTGTCAAACGTGTAATTTTGAACCTGGAATAGTGCGTTCAGGTTATATTCCTGTCGTTTCTGCTGTCGAGTATACAAACCAGGGTTCCAGCTATGTTTATTCTTTCAGTCTAACCGAGTACCCATGGCACACGCCCTCATACATGACAGCCACGGAAGTCTTCCAAGTTCACACTTCTTCAGCCCTACAAATGTGAATTCCACATTCCAAATGTATATTAATAGACAGTGCCTTTAGATAGCAGTAGCTTTGAATCGAGGCTGAAATTGATATAGGGCTGCCATGTCTTTTCAAATACTTGTATGGAAAGATGAAGCTTCTTCCATCACACCCCGTGTGAAGGAGCTGTGCTTGCTGTTTTAAAGACACAGAAGTCTTGCTCTGTCTTTTAATCCAGCGGTATGAACCAAATTTAGGGCAGAGCATTGTTAATTTCCTTTTCCAATTGAGGTCTAGTACTTCCATTGCAGGAGCAGGGGGGTTGCTGTTCTCCTGGTGCCTTTGATGCCTTTTGGGCAATGTTGTGATTACTTGGGATGGACTGATGATGTGGCTATTTCCTGTGCCAGGCTCTCTGTACTGCTGAAGGATGTAATTACTGTCACTGGTCCCTCTCATCAGTGTTGTAAAGGAAGTCACATGAGAACTCCTGAAAAGCAACTATACCTTTGTATAAAGTGGGCCTGAGAGCAAACTCAAATGGTAGTCCTTTCACATGCCTGGGGCATCTTAGAATGCATCCCAGTCAAAATTTGTTTGGAAACGTATGTGTCATTGAGGGCCCCATATGCATTATGATGTACACTGGCACGAGAGGATCACACCACAAGAGCATGTGGTGTTCCGAATCATCAACAGGTTTATTGTGGCATGATCACTTGTGGGCATAATTTTGGGTTGTATCCAGTGATGTGCCAGCAGGGTGCCACTTGTACAGTGGGACTTAGGTTGCCACTCCTTCCCCAGCATGCCCCCCAAAATCTCCTCTGGAGGGTCTCCCAACCCTCTGGAACTGATTTTGAGTGTGCATGGGGAGCTGGAGGGGACAGAAGAGGAAGTTCTGTTCTGCACATGAAGTCCCATGCAGTGCTGGATACAGCCCATTACTGCATGCATGAAGTTTGCTTTTAGTACCATTGCTTTCACAGCTTTTATCTGGTTTTTGCTCAGTAGGTCTTCAGTTACATGGCTCTGTGAAAACTCACAGCCGAGGTGGATCGAGAAGCAGACAGGGACTATAATGTTGTGGCAATAAACCATCTCTTTCCAAGATGAGGGAATGACCATAGAAGCTTTTACAATCAGTATTCAACTGTAGCAATATCAAACCTGTTTACAGAAGAAGTCTTAAAACTTTCTTTACAAAACGTCTTATTTTTGTATTGACTTAAAACAAATGCCAAAGACTACAAGGTTCTCTCTTATTTTTGTTCCTGTAAATCGGCTATGGTGTTCTGTTGGGTGCTGAAAGCATGTGTTCAGGAAATCTGCTAACCTCTAGTATTATTGTTAATACAATCTATTACAAAGAATGTCTGCCTAAAGAATTGGATTCCTCTAGGAGTGATAATGTTATAACACCAATTGACTTGCCAGTTATTGGCACTTGATGGCAATATATTTAGTAAAATTAAATAAGTGTGCTTGGGCACACTTCCAGTATTTTGTCTTAAATGTATAAAATGTTCTGAGTGCCAGTTGTTTGCATACTTAGAAAAAGCTGCAGGTGATGATGTCTGAAAGGTGGCCAAGATTAAAACTTGGGGGTGCAACAGTTTTGTGTACTACCATCTATACTTTCAGTACTTACTTTCCCTTGTTTAAAATGAAGCAAGATGTTTGGTACACACATAATATACAGCAGGAAGGTTCAGTTTTAATGTTCTCTCACTGGGGAGAGAACACTTTGTTAAGATGGAAATATTTAGAAAAAGCATTGCCTACATTGAATGTTGCATTTAATGTCTGCTGTAATTTTAATGTAACATAAAAAATAGTTCTAGGTCTTACTAGACAAAATAAGTGCCAGATGACAATTGTATGAAGTTATGTAAATTAAAGATAGCTTTGCATTATATTCTAGATACCATGTGAAAGTTGTAAAAAACTGGTGGGAACAGATTCTTATTAAATTGTAATATGGAATAACTTTTATATACAAATAAAAAAATATTTTCTAAAATGCATTTGAATTGTTATTAAATCCCAGTGGGTAGATCTTGGCTTTGAGAATGGTGCAGTCAAGAGTAACTGACCCAAGCAAGCTTCATGGCACAGGAGGGATTTTAACTTGGATATTTCCAGCATTAGTCCAATTCCATCACTATAGCTTCTGGCCCTGAAAAGTTTGTATGTAAGTTCATAGTTATAGGCATAAGTGGCACACTGTTGGCAAGACATTTCATACCCGGAGCACACACTGTTTTTTCACTCACTGCATCAATATTGTCCTCTTGTTTTTTTAAGTCTGGGAGATACTCTCCATCATTCAGGCTGCCCCTCCTGCACAGTTAGAAGGCAGGACCAGCTTGCTAATTTGCTTCTACTGTTGGACAGACTCCCAGACCACACACACCAGCAACAGTGAAGCAAGGTTTTAGATAGCATACTACCGAGCCCAACAAACACCTAAGTTTACCATTTTCCCTTGTCTGCCTCCTACCTTCCTTCTCCAACTGATGCATTTTAGCTAGAGCCCATCATGGGCAAGTTCTGACTTTTCACACACTTTTCAAAAACATACTTTATTAAGTTTAATAAATGCCTTTATAAAATCAAACTGACAGTACTTGCCCAAACATATTCCTGCAACATACAATACTGTTTTACATTAATTCAGATGGGAAGGTTTTTTTAAAAAGATTGACGTTTTTTCATTTTACCAGTTTCTTTTTTGTTCACAGCAATCTTGCTGTACTGCTGCAGTCCGAAACGCCACCTTGACTCCTCTGTGGCATCTTGAAGCATTTAATAGCAGCTTTAGTTCTGCAGCTTGCCTCTTCAGAATGTCTTCTACCCAGTGTGAGTTTCAACGAATTGATGGAAGCATCTTGCTTTCCTTGGCTGTCTCAAAGCAAGATTAATGCTAACGGAAGAAATGAAATGAAAGCAGAAAATTAATAAAGTCATTTCATTCCTTTCTTGGCTGCTGTTTTCTTTCCTCCTTTTTTGGATTTGGTGCCATACTTTGCTTCCATCTGAGCCAGAAAATCACCCATTTCCTTTTTTCGATTCTCATTTTTGCTCTGTTAAATGACAAAAACAAGGTGGTTAAATGAGCTTACAAGTATTTCTCATGTTTTGACTAGAGATTTGGCATTTAATCAAGTTACTAATAAGGTAGTATACATAAGAAAATGTATATAAATATTTTAAAATACTGTATCTGCAGAATATTTGAAAGAGATCAGATTGTTGTGAAGTATGAATAATATTGTTCAAGATGAACTATTTAAAAATGCAACTCTAAGGACAACTGTTGGCTGGCGGTTAACTTTGATGAAGAAATCAGATCACACGTTGCCTCTCCTTCATGCGCAAATTCCCTTAAATATTCAAGCCCTTAGTCACAGCCCTATTCAAACCTCATCAGCATGTATGTGAAATTGCAGTTGTTATTATTTTGTCCCAACATGCATCACTTTACAACTTCTTATACACACTAAATCTCACTTGCAATTTTGTCGCTTTTGGATACTACTATCATGAACAATTTAGTGTCATCTGTAAATCTGGCTGTCTCATTGCTCACCTGAGACTCCTGATCATTTTGGAATAAATTAAATAAGACTAGTCTCTGTCAAAAAGAATCCCAAGGGGACCTCACTGCTTTTTGCTATCCTGAACATTAAAATTAGCTCTGCAATGCTGGAGGATTAGACTTAAAGGCTCCCTCTACCCTAACAAAAGGTAACGCTATCTAACTTGTTAGAATGATTTGGAGCTTTCTCCACTCTTACTTGAATTAGTGCTTTTAGGTCATCTTCCCCTTCACCAAGACCCAGTTCTTCTCTGGATTTTTCTGCCTCTTTAGCTTCTTGTCGAGCCTGAAACAATGGCACAGTTGTTGAAGCGAATGCTAAATTTCTTTCTTAACCTATTGCAGCAGCAAGCAATTTATTTGTTAATATTATATTGTAAGCATTTCTACCTGGCCATTTTCAACAAACTTGCAGGATGGCTTGAACAATGTTAGGAAAACTTGCTTATGAGTCCCAGAGAGAAGAAAGGACAGCAAATGTTTTGCTGCATTGTAGGTAGATTCTAGTGTTTTACATTCAAGGATTACCACATCATAAATAGTAAATAAATGGGAGTATATCATAAAATCCTAGATGATACTCATTTAATACCTAGCAACTATAAAGGAAAGATCAAAAACCAATTGGATTCTGTTCCATAAGGATGTTCTGAATTTGGCGTGTTCACTCAGTGCATCAAGATAAAGAAATACAGGCTTTCTTTCCTCTCAACTGGGTTAAGGGGGGGGGGGGTTCCCCTTCCAGAAACTAGTAGCTGAAGAAAACAGGCTGTGTTCTCTCTGCAACTCAAGCACTGGTTCAACCCCTAAAAGGATGTTACATTTGAAAATGTACATTACATGAAATAGGAAATATGTTTACCACCAGTGAAACATTCGGAACTGTAGTTGATGGTAAGATTTACACATTTTGTCAGACAGTCTTTTGCCTCTTGCAAACCTACCTTCCTTTTTCTTGAATTCATCTTTTGCTTAGACTCTTTTGTAAAGGCTTTGTAAGATGGAAGTTCTCCAGAATCAATGGCATGTTGGATAATCTCTCTTATTCTCGGCTCATCTGTATAATCAACACACAGTACAGATTCCATAATTTTGTCCATATCGCCTTTAAAATCCTCATATGCTGCTTTAATGTCCACCAGCTCTTCTGCAGAATCTTTGTACTTCTTCTCAAAGTCTTCAATATCTTTTACAGTTATCTAATTTTAAAACAACAACAAAGAGAGTTGAATTCCATGAACAACAATCCTTTTTACCACACTCAAGTTACACACACACATTTTCCCATCCCAAATTCATTGTTACTTTAAAATTTTACTTTTCTGTAATTTGAGTTCATTGAAGACAAGCTCCCAGCACCAATCATCAGACTGGCGCTGAAAGAACATCTTCAAACCACCAATCTTGTTACAATGAGCTCATCTGAACTTTGGCAGGTGTCAACCACTTGTCATTAACACCCAAAGGGTCCTGCCCACCTGTCAAAGTTGGCCTGTGAATGGGTGCGGGGGATTAAGGATCCATAAATCATACTTAGACCCAGTGAAATCAATGGGCTTGACTAACTCAAGTGTATTGATTTGAATAGGTCCACCCTTGAGTATTTCGCTGTGGGATACAACCCACTTGAAAGGATGGTATTTCAGCACTAAAGCATTTCAGAGCTATCATTCCTTGCGATGCCATCTCCAATTTTTTTTATAGCTGCACCCTGTTTACTACAATAGCATTAAGCAAATTTCTCCAGGGATCAAAGAAATAATGAAAGGGCACTGAACTTCTTCAGCTGTGAAAACAGAATATCGTATTTTGATATTACATAAAAAAATCACATAAGGTTCAGGTTTGCAAAAATCCATTTTTGCAGCCAGAGAAAAAGTTGGCATCACAAATAACAACCCATCCCGCAGATGAAAATAAAATAAAGGGGATGAGGGCAAAGGTCCCACAGAAGTTACATCTGCCCTACAGATAAAAGAAATAGCGCTTTCTTTACAAATTTTATCACTCCAGTTGTGAGATAAGGACCACCATCACATTGAAGAAGACTACCTACTTTTTTGAACAGCAGCCTCCAGTATTCTTCCCAGTTGCGGTCCTGAGTCAGCACAGTTGACTCCTCATCCACAATCCCCTGCTGGTCATACAGAGCCCGCAGTTCCTGGTCACTCAGTACTGCATACACCTTGCCCAGGATCTAAGAGGAGACAAGACAAACCACCTCACTACTCCAGTAAGACACAACCCATGCCATCCCACTTGCCTCACAATTGGCTTCTTTCTTATTCAGGTTATGCTACTATGCTAGCATTCCCTCTAACAGTGGAAATTCCAAGTAGTTGGGTGGCAATAAGTTTACAAACAAAACGGGACTACCCCAAAATTGCACAGTGGTTTCAACATACTCGAGGGACTCCGTAGGCAAACAGAAGTGTGTAATTATAAAACCCCAAAATAACACCAAACATTGGAGAGAACCAAAACGGGTAGGACAGAAGATGAAACTGGACTTTTCAAGTCCTAACAGCTTATAGTAAGTGGGATTTAGGTTGAAGTAAGGCTGCCATATTTCAAAAAGTGAAAATCCAGACACAAAGGTTGTTGAGCTTTTTCTGCAAAATTTCAAGAAAATAAGTAAGTTTTTGAGGTGTTCTTAAGGGAATTTGCCAAAATCTATACTTCCGACATGAGTTGCCATACATCCAGATTTTCAAAGCAAAGGCAAACAGGGTGTTCCAGCACCTCTCAGGATTTGCACAATTGCTAGAAAAATTCTTTTTCTAGAATAATACCACTGGGTAAACCTTTTCCTTTTCTACCATGCATAACCATTAACCACCCCACCCCTGTTATATAGCTATAAAATACTCAGGTTCAGAATTAGCAGTGTGCCCAATCCTTACCCATCTTGTGCTAGGCCACAGAGCAGGGCATGGGCTGGAAAAAAGGGAGAAATGGTCCTCTTGGCTCATGCATTTCCTACCAGGCCTGAACTGAAGCACTGCAACGCGATGTGGCAGGTTCTACTCTCCCCCTCTAAATGCAAAGGTGACTTGGTCTCTCAGACTGGAAGCAGAACAGGGGACGCCCCCCCCCATAGACACACAAGTTGGGGAGGGGGACTTCTTAAGTATGTAGATATACACTTGTAAATTAAACAACCTGTTAATAGATGCCCTTTGAGACTGGCAAGGACACCTACAGTAGGTGGGGGCAGGCAGAGGCAACTCTTTCTAGTTTTGCCCCATTCTCCTCCCTGCTGAGGAGGAAGTTGACAGGCAGAACCAGCCCCTGGACTGGTTGTAAGCAAGGAGGCAGGCAGGTGGACTACTGGACTGGTTGTAAGCAAGGAGAAAGGGCAGGGCTCCTGTTGCAGACCTGCCTAGAACAAGAGGACCCTCATGGAGCTATGCTTTGTTCTCGT